TGCATTCCCCCCTGACTTGTTCTCTCTCCTCAGAAACCCGCGCCTGCCAAAGCAGAGCCGAAACCTAAAAAGTTAGCGGCAAAGGTGAGAATGAATTGGAAGAGGGGAGGGAGGGGAGTTGGTGCTTGGGGCATCCCGCGTAGTATCCTCGGTGCGCCGTGCTGGAATGGTTTTATTCCTTGTGGGAACACTCACTTGGCTGAAGAGTTATTTCAATGTGCTTTTGCCAGTATTTACAGGTACATTCCATCACTGTGTACGTAGATCCTTGTTAAGCTCCAGGCATTGTGTGGAAGTGCGGGCACAGCTCCATGCGTGTTACACTGTGGTTTGGTGTTGGGTGGAACCACTTGACTGTCAGAGCAGCTGTGTGTTAGGACATCAGGAGGAATTTCTTCACAGCAAGGCTGGTCAGGCATTGGAAAAACTGCCCAGAGAGGTGGTGAAGTCACCATCTCTGGAGGTGTCCAAGGGTAGGCCTGGGTGTTGTTTGACTGCTCTGCTCCGGTTGACAGGGTGGTGCTCAGTTAAAGTTGGACTGGAGTACCTTGGAGGACTTCTCCAAACGGAATGATTGTGTGCATAGCGTTATATTTAATCTCTGTAACAAGAGAGGATAAAATACACCTACTGATGTTTTAAAGCAGTGTGTTAGGACAGAGAAAAGGTGTATCAACCACTTAACAACCCCGTGAGCTTCCATTCACGTGGTCAAGCTTTCAGGTGTTTGTGTGTGTGTGTGAGAAAGTGGATTTGTGTGATCTTCGATTTTTTCAGCACAGCTTTCGCTGTGCAAATAATTAAGGTGTAAGATTCTTTGTCCTTTGGAAGAATTAAAAATGGCCTTGTGTCTGTTGGCTTGCTGCTGTTTGTGTTGTTAAGCGTTCCTTTGTCATCATAAGTTTTTTTTTGTGATATATTGATTAAGAGCTTTGGGATGACCTCACTGTGGCCTTGCAGTACCTGAAGGGAGTCAATAAGAAAAATAAAGAGAGACAATTTCCAACGGCCAGGAGCCAGGGAATGGCTGCCAGTGGCAGAGGGCAGGGCTGGATCTTGGGATCTTGGGCAGGAATTGTTCCCTGGCAGGGTGGGCAGGGGCTGGGATGGAATTGCCAGAGCAGCTGGGGCAGTGCCCAAGGCCAGGCTGGACATTGGGAGCAGCTGGGACAGTGGGAGGTGTTGGGGGTTGGATGAGATGATCTTTAAGATCCCTCTCAACCCAAACTGTTCTGTGATTCTCTAAATTCAGATAAAGTAATAATCTTTGCAGACTTCCTGATGTTTTCATTGTATTAATCCTCCTGAGCAGTTACTGATCTTGAATCCACCTTCATTTGGTGGTTTGAGTGTCAGTGTGTTCCCACTCTCAGGGCTGTAAGTCCAAAGAATTTGGGGAAGTTTTCCAATGCTACTGAGTTGTAATTTTTTTTTGTTTTTTGCAGTGTCGACTGACATGTGCGATACTGATTTTATACTTAAAACTGCTTCAAGCTATTAATTAACAGTCAAAGATTTTTTTATTTAATTCATCAAAAAAATAATTTTTTGCATCAACTTTGTCCGTTTTAAAAACTTCACTCACAGTATTTTTTGCAGTTGTGGGAAGTTTGATCATTATGCAGTTACTTGGTGGGCTTTTTAATTAACTGTTAATGAAGAAAAATATATTTTGGCAATCAAAGTATAAAAGTCAGTGTGTTGCAATTATGTAATTCTAAAGTATTTTGTAAGTGGGTGATTTTGTTGGTAGCTTAGCAAATCCATCTTGATTTTCTGTGCTTTTTATTATTTCCAAGGTTTACCTGGAAGGTCATAGCAATTGACTAACTGAAAATGTATTGCGTTGTAGGATAAAACTGAAGAGAAGAAAACTCAGTCAAAGGGGAAGAAGGGGCCTAAAGGAAAACAGGCAGAAGAGACAAACCAGGAACAGACAAAGGACAACCTGCCTGCAGAAAATGGAGAAGCTAAAGCTGAGGAGGTGAAGTTTGGAGGGCTGGATTTGGGTTTTGCTGTTACTGAGAATAGTATTGTATTTCAAACTTTTTTGCTACAGAACTTTTTTTTTTTTTACAAATTAAATACTCTTTTCCTTGGGCCTCAGAGGAGTCTTGAGTGAAAACCCAGAGTTGATTGGAGCAAAGTTGGGGTGACATTGACAGGCAGTGCTGGGAGAAGGGACAGGTTGGTGCAAGGACAAAGTACAATTAATGAGCTATTGTTGCTGGAGAAGTGGCTGTGCCAGGTGAGTCTTGGCTGCAGCACAGTGCTGGAGTGGCCCTGTGGCTAAACTTTTTGGAGTCACTTACAGCATCCTCCACTCTGTATTATATTCCTGGAAAGCAGACATAAGTTAGTTACAAATTAAGGACAAGATCTACAGGGAAAAGCAGTGCCTTTTATCAGGACAAGCGGATGAAACCCAAGTGTGATAATAGATCTAGAGCTGGTGTCAGGTTTCTGTGACAGTGAATGTCCCCTCATTTTCAGGAGTTCAGTGGAGTATTTTGGTTTTAGGTAGATGATGGGGTTTGGTGGGCAAGGATGGTACTTCAGTGAACAAGAGGATTCACTCTGGGGTAACAGTTGGTCATTTGCAAGCAGTGTGAATAAGCTGTGCTGTGAGTTCTTCAGCTGACTCGATTTTTGGCATTATTGCAGTCTTTTAATTGGTGCTTGTAATATTTCAGCAGCAGAACCAAATTTGGCAGCATTCCCACCTGGGGTCCCTTTAGTTCACTGCTGCAGAGGTTATTTACAAGGAATTACAGTCAATTTACAAGGAATGGAAGATGGCTTGGTCACACCACCCAAAATTCCAGGTGTAATTATATACCAAAGTCCAGAAGAGGCAGAGTCTGTGATGTTGGATATTATTGTTTGCTAAGAAATAAAACAGGGTTAAGGTTTGAAGAGTATTTTAAGTGTGGCACTGAAATTTAAAGGCATGAAGTGTTACCTCATGTATTTTCTAAACACCTCATATGTAACTGTAACTGTGTAAAAGCTCAAGTTTCTTCTGTCATAAAGGCAGTAATTCCAATTAGAACTAAAATTCTTTGCAATGTGTGTTTAGTAACAAATCAACATCCTGAAATCCATCCTGGTGGATCCAAGGAGCCTTTTTGTGACAGCTTGGTTTAGCAGGTCATGAGCCAAGAGAAATCTCCAGGAACAAGTCAGGAGTTATTCTGTCCTTTTGTGCACTAAAACCACTCCAGACTAATCTGAGCCATTAAAAACTTCTTAAAAACTTCTTGCACTGAAGTGTTCTGTTTTTATTTTCCCTTTCCAGACCCCAGCACCTACTGATGCAGCTGCAGAGAAAGAAGTGAAGTCTGAGTGACACCTGCTCCCACATCTGCAACTGGTGGTCCTTACACCTTTCTTCTTGTACAATTCAGAGGAATATTTTTATCAGCTATTTTGTAAATGCAAGTTTTTTAGTAGTTCTAGAAAACACATTTTTAAAAAGGAGAGAATCCCGACTCAATCCATTTTTTTACATATTTAGATAAGTGTAAATGCTTTTTTTAAGTGGTAAAATCATGTACTGGTTGTCTGTTTTCTATGAAACCAGAAATTAACAGTGTGTTAATTAAGGAGGGGGCTTTGAGGCCTTGATTAGGCCTCATGTTCCACAGACTCCAAGGGACAGTTTTCTATCCTATAAAAATGAAGCATAACACAGATCAGACTTTGGAATTCATAATGATGTGTTGAGAATGTCTTAACATTTTAGTTATTTATCTTTCTCTATGGTTGTACCATCAGTAGAATTGCTTATCTATTAAAACTGCTCCCTAGTGGTGGATTTCTTGCTGAGTGATGTATATCAGTGACAAAGTTATTTTTGGTAGTTGCAGCTTTATTTTTTTCCAACAACTTTGTAGCTGTGATGCAAAAGATTGGAAACTTTTATTTTATATCTTTAAATACTGTCTTAAGTAAAAGTTTCTGCTTGGCAGATGGAACCTGTTATGTCAATATTTGAGATACTGGAACTTCACATTTAGTTTTAAAGGACAGCTTGTCTACAAAGATTGAGTGAAAAATATTTGAAATAGTGCTAGGAAAAAAAACCAATTAGTTTTTAGATGAAAAAAAAACCTGTGTGAATAAAAACAATTGTAAAATTGTTGATAGTGTTTGTGATCACCAAACAAAAGCCAAATAAATCTTGATTATGAAAGGATGTTTCTGTAGCTCCTGCATTGACTGTGAACTCATTATCTGAGTGCTGTGCTTTGGATTTTTAACCGTGTCGTTCAGAGCATTAAACTGTACTTTTAAAGAGATGGGTGGCAGTTCAGGGAGTGGAGAACTGCAGCATTAATCTAAACTTGCAGTTTGAAAGCTGAGATCTTTGTGTGTTTGCTTTAAAAAAAGTCAGTAATTAGGAAGCGTCAGATGCCAGCCAGACAACTGTTACCCAGTCCTGGGCGGAGCCAAGATCAAACTTTAACATTTGTTCTTTGTTGTTTTTTTTCCCTCTTACCACAGAACTTGTTTATGCTCTTAAGTAACACCTGCAAGTCCAGTACCTGCTTCCTGTACATTTTTAGGGCCTTTTTCAAATTGTTGTAGTTATTTCTAAAAAAACCCCACTTTAGTTTCACCTTTAACTTGCTTTCTTAATCAATACTTTCATTTCAGAAAGTATTTTACTATATTTACCTCTTCAATACTTAAGCAATTTTTAACTTTTCTCTAAGAAGTTTCCCAACCTTAGACCACAACCTGCTCTGTTCCATTCCATCACAGGTGTGTTCCTCACACCTGGCTTTGGCATCAAGTTCTTGGATATTTCAAAACTGCAAATTGATGCCACTTCACTAACTCATTTTCCCCAACATCCCCTTCCAGGTACCATATTTGTTAGTTTAATTTAATAGTAACACAGTCTAGCTCTATTAATAATCTAGTATTATTTACTCTCTGGTTTCAGCAAGTGCAAGCCACCAGTTAAATAAGGAATAAACTTGCAGGTAAATCCCCCCCAAATAACCACTCATCACTGCTTTTATAGAAAGTCTATTTTTCATGTGCTTTGTGTGTCTGGTGCTGTGATCCTGTGGACTTTCAGCATCTCATATCTGTTACCCACAGCTTAATTTACTATAACTTGATATTACTCTGTCCTGTGTGATATCAAATTTATTTGCTTTTCATCTCAGGATTCGAGTGAGAGCTGATGCAGATTTGCATCCAATGGAGTACAATCTGATTCAAAATACAACAGCAGAACAAAACTTGTTTCTTGGAAGATACTCTGTTGTCTTTGTATATTGCTAGTAATTGTTTGGGTTAAGGGAATGATACATCAAAATAATTTACTTCAAGGTTCTAAAAATGCAATTCAAGGTACCAGAGGTGGGGAATGAAATAAGGAAAGAAAACCTTGGATTTAAAATGTAACACAAGTACAGCCATTGCTGTTTTTATCAGTGTTCAAGCTCTGAGAAAGAAAAAAGATAAAGCATGTGTTGGGTTCAAAGGGACCTGAAAGATCAGCCATGGCAGGGACACCTCCCACTGTCCCAGCTGCTCCCAATGTCCAACCTGGCCTTGGGCACTGCCAGGGATCCAGGGGCAGCCCCAGCTGCTCTGGCAATTCCATCCCAGCCCCTGCCCACCCTGCCAGGGAACAATTCCTGCCCCAGATCCCAAGATCCAGCCCTGCCCTCTGCCCCTGGCAGCCATTCCCTGGCTCCTGGCCCTGCAGCCCTTGGCAATTGTCTCTCTCCAGCTTTCCTGGGGCTCCTTCAGGCCCTGCAAGGCCGCCCTGAGCTCAGCCCAAAGCTTCTCCTGGCCAGGCTGAACAATGGCAGCTGGGCCAGCCTTTGCTGCCAGCAGAGCTGCTCCATCCCTCTGCTCATCCTGGAGCCTCCTCTGGGCTCACTCCAACAGGTCAACTGGCTCTCAAAATCCTGTCTCCAGGAGTCAGGCTCGAGGTGTCACAGGCATGGGGGCAGAGCTGCCTTTTTTTTCATTGATGCCAGAGAAGCAGTGCTGCCTAAGTGGTGTGGGAAATGCCCCTCCCCAAGCTGCTGTTTGGGGCAGACGAGCTGCCCCCTAGCATCCCTCATGGAGCTCTGCTATCACAGCCGGAGCCTGGGCCATCCCTGAACTCCAACACAGCATTGATGCTCCCACACCTCTGCTGGCACTGGACACGCCGGGCAGCACGTGGGGCAATGCACTTTGAATCACATTATCACAAAATCCTTTAGCTTGGGAAACACCTCTGACATCATCGAGTCCAACCTTTGACTGATCAGCACCTTGTCAACGACCGGAGCATTTCCAGCCTTCCTTGAATTCCTCCAGGCACGGGGACTTCAACACCACCCTGGGCAGCACATTTCAATGTTTAATCACCCTTTTAGCGAAAAAAAAAATTCTCCCGATGTCCACCCTGATCCTCCCCTGGCCCACCCTGAGGCCGTTCCCTCTCTTCCTGTCCCTCTTCCCTGGGGGCACAGCCCGAACCCCCAGCCGTCCTCTCCTGTGCAGAGCCGGAAGGACTCTCCTGAGCCTCCATTCTTCCAGGCTGAGCCCCTTCCCCAGCTCCGTTCCCTTCTCTGGATAAGCTGCAACCCCTCGATATCCTCGCAGCGAGGGGCCCAGAACCGGACACGGCACTCGAGGCACAGGCCTTGGCCTGGCGGCACACGGCGTCCGCTCCGTCACCGCAACGCCCCCTAGAACCGGCTC